CTGGATCACTCCACCATGGGGCCCACCTCTGGGTCATGTATGCAGAATGGGAGAGGAGAGGCAAGATAAGGGGAGAAGGAGGACATGAGGGCAGAGGAATTCTAAAAGGTACAAAGGGACAGGACACCTCCACTTTGGATACCCAGCTCTGGGACCCCTTTTCTATGGAGAAGTCTGACTCTATTCTATCCTTTAAGAAAACTTGCTCCCTATGTCTGCCTCTGCATTTCTTGACTGTTCAGTCTTCACCCCTGGGGAAACAGAACTGGGCCCTGATGGATCCTCCTCACTGGCAGGATCACAGACAGCAAGGCTCCAGTCGTGCCCACACCTCACTACTGGACATCACCACCCCGGCCCGCCACCATGCAGGCCTAAGGAGTGTCTCTGGTGAGATGCTTTCCTTCCCAGGATCCCCCCTCTCAGATCTTTGCACCTGACTTCCTCTGGGACCTGGCTCTGGTCTCTTCAGGACAGGTGGCAGCAAGTCACTCTGGAGTGGGAGGGCAGGGCCTTACCTTTCAGAATGTTGCTCTTCTTCCTTTTCTTCTTCACCTTTGGGTGCTAACCAACAAGAAAGAAAAAGAGGCTGTGGCCCAGTTCTCCCTCCGCTCTGCTAGGTCAGCTGCAGACATTCCGTTTTTCTGAACAGCATCACGTTCTACAGTTAACTAGTTCTCTTGGTTCAGAGAACATTTTTAAAGTGGCAAAATACTTTATTTTTCTTCTTTGGAAAACACAAAAGGAGATTTTTCTACATGAACTACACCATGCATGTCCTGGTGCAGTCACTGATCCTTGGCTCAGGAACAGACTCATTTACAGAAGCTCGTCTCAGCTGCGACACAGGGTTCTGCTACCTGAGGAGAGGTTTCTCCAGTGGGTGATGGAGGCCTCAGGGCTCAGCACAGCCCTCACCTCAGCCCAACACAGAGGAAAGCCTGGGCTCTGGACTTTAACCTTCCACCATTGCAAATGAGTTCTGAAAGGAGGCACAGTAAATAGCTGCTGTGGGAATCAAGGGATCCCACAGGAAAACGAACAGCAATGGGAAGGATATGAACTCCTATCTCTAACAGTGACAAAGGGTTTCAAACTTTTTATACCTGCCTTCCTGAGTTAAAATTTTTACCTGCACAACTAGTTCCCTGACTGTCTGAAGGGCCATTTGCAGTTTCCAATGATCAATTCACTCTCCTTGGAAACTATAGAACTCAGACTCCTTCTCTAACTGTGGGTCATTTTTATACCTAGAAAATGAGCCCTTCCAGTGCCTGATGGATTGACTGTGCTTCAGCATACAGGGCAGCTTGCTGATTCATTGGAGGTCTGCTTCCATCCTGGTTATTTGTATTTTCATTACGGTGCTAAAACCATGTTGGTTATTTTTGCTTACATCTAGTGGACACTCTTCCCCTGCTTTCCCCGCCTGTCCCAGAATGATGTTCTCTTCTGTCCTGAGATTTATCTTTTTTGAAGTGCTTCTACTTGTTTTGGAAAAATGGAAAAAAGAATAGACAAAACAGAACCTAGTTTTTGTTGAGTCTGGTGTGAGGGTTTCTTACCTTCCTGAGTTTTTCCTTTTTCCTTGGTGGTGGGAAGGATGGATTACCCTGGAGGAAAGGCATTAAGAAAAAAAAGAGCCCCAGTCCACACACACAGGCAAGGACCATGTCTACCGCCCAGGTGGTGAAGCTGGGGTTCAGCCATGCGGCACTAACGCTATTCAAAGGAAAAAGAAGATTCTCCATCTTCTGAATCACACTGTCCTGTTGGACAAATGAGTCCTGAGAGTTCACTTCAGCAATGGGGAGTCGTACCCTGGCCTGTGTCACACAGGGCTGTGCCCTCTCATCACAAAGGGATCCTGACAGCAGGGGAGGGGCAAGGAGAGGAGGCAGCACCACACCCCTGCTCCACCCCCTGGCCAAGTCTGTCCTCCACCCTCCTGTGCCTTCTAGATCTTTCCTTTCAACTCCACCTACTCACCCTGTCAGAGGAGCCTTTTGTCCATTCCATATTCTTTCTCCTCAGAACCTAGACGTGACCCACTTCCTTGTAGATCTCTGCTTGAGCTTCATTAATTTCATAGCTTTTGGAAATTCTTTTTTTTCTCTCGAATTTTTATTTCTCAGGGATTATTACTTTCAGGATCTCCTCTCTTTGAAATTCCAACTTTTCCATATGATATGTTCTTGCCTTGTATCAACTCGGCGTAGAACTAAAATTGCTTTTATGCTTATTTAGTTATATCAATTTTAAATAAAATTTTTTCAAATTTATTTTACTATCTTCATCTACAGGATTTAATTTGCTGGCAGCAAATTTTCTCATGCACTGTTTATCTGGGAGTATCTCTTTTTTTCGTTATGAAAGGACAGATTTTCTGGTCATGGAATCTTAGCTGGTCCTCCTCGGCTTCCTTTGATGACTCCCTACCACTCCCTCCTTCCATTATTTCTGATGGGGAATCAACTGATAACCTCACTGTGGTCTCCTTGTGCGTGAGTTTTTCTCTGATGCTTCTAAGAGAGATTTAAAGAGAGATCTTTGCCTTTTCACAGTTTGACTGTGCTGTGCTTAGGAATGAATCTATTTGTTTTCACTTTACAAAGGCAAAGCATTGAATCTAGAGGTTTTATATATATGTATAATTAAAATTTGCTAAGTTTCCAGCCCTTATTTTACAAGTTTTTCTTCCCCCTTCTCCCTCCTTTCTCTCTGGTCTCTCCTTCCACATGTGTCAGTAGCCGTGGTGATGGGGACGTCCAGGTCAGGCAGCCCCACTTGCGGGAAGGATCTCTGCTCCATGCTGCTGTGTTGCCTCTGCTCCTTGAATACACATCAGTTGGCTGGACTGATGCGGGTCTGTTTCTGGTCTCTCCAATCTGTCCACTCACCTATTTGTCTACACTTTCTCCAGTATCCCACTGTCCTGATAACCACTGCTCCACAGTAGGTCTTGAAGTCAAGTACTGTCAGTCCTCCAGATTTGTTTATCCCCAGTATTGTTTTATTGTCTCTCCTTAAAAACTTTGAAATTGGTTTTTTTAGTCTCCACAAATGAACTTGTTGGAAGTTTGTTTGGATCACATTGAATATAGAGAGCAAATTGGCAAGAAGTGATATCTTAATAATGTTCAGTTTTTCTATCCACGTTATCAAATACCTCCCCGTTCATTTGGATCTTCCTTATTCCATCACGGCTTCAAAGTTTTCCTCATATCGGTCATATAAATTTTTTTTTTTTAGTTTTCTTTCTGAATAATTAATATGGGGGCTAATAAAAATAATAATTTAAAAAATTTTATATTCTACTAGTTCATTGCTAGATTTTTCTACATTAATCTTCTCTCTTGCAACTTTGGAATAATTACTTATTCATCCAACGTGTTTTCTTGTTGATTGTGTTTGATTTTCTATGTAGACAATGCGGGCACCTGCAAAGATAGTTTTATTTCTCCCTTTCAAATCTGTATAAACTAAAATCTTTTGTTTTTTAATATGAGATTACATTAATTAATTAATTTATGAGGGTTGACACAGAGATAAATCCCAGTTGGTTTTACTATGTAATTCTTTATATTTATTGTTGAAGAATATTTGTTTATATCTTAATCGTTTTGCATCTCTTTTTGAAAGATATTGGTCTGTAATATTTGTATAATATTTCTGTCTCATTTTGTTATTTGAATAATACAGACCCAATAGAATGAGTTAAAATATTGTTCCTCTGCTTCTATCTTCTGAAAGAGATTATACAGAATTTATTCCTTGAAAATTTTTGTTAGGGTTAACCAGGAAACTATCTGGGCCTGAGGATTTCTGTTTTAGAAGGTTATTTATTTTGGTACTGGGAATTTAACTCGGGGGGAACTCAACCACTGACCCACATCCCCAGCCCTATTTAATTTAGAGATAGGGTCTCACTGAATTTCTCAGTGCCTCACTTTTGCTGAGATTGGTTTTGAACCTATGATCCTCCTGCTTCAGCCTCCCAAGCTGCTGGGATTACAGGTGTGTACCACTGTGCCCAGCTTTGTTGTAAGGTTTTTATGTATTGATTCAACTTCTTCAATAGTCATAATTCTGCTTAGATTGTCTATTCTTTTGTGTGGATTTTGGCAGATTTGTCTTTAAAGAAACGAGTCCGCTTCATGTCGTTTATTGAATCTGTGGGCAAAGAGTTGTTCAGAGTGTTCCTTTATTATCTGGTTGGTAGCCATAAGATTCAGTATTACTGATGCTTCCTTAATTTTTGTTATTCCTGAGTTGTACTTTTTTTTTGGCTTGTTAGCCTGTCTAGAGATCTATTTATTATATTGTTTTTTCTTTTTCTTTTCTTTTTTATATTAAATGTTAAAATTATTGACATTCTAGGTAAGGCATAGAAATTATGAAAATCTTAGGCTATAGCTATTAAAACCTTACATACAAGAGCTAGTTCTAATTTATTACAAGACTTACTTCCCAAACAGCTAGTCACAGCTGGATTGATAGAGTACTTGGGAAATGTGGCAATATGGTTTATGTAAGTATCCCACATTATAAATCTACTGGAGATGCAAAGTTATTGGACCTTGTGGAATTCAAAACAAAAGGACAAGCAGCAAAAATTATTGAGGTACATCCAGATACCAAGGGGAAAATAAATCGAAAGGTGTAACAAGAGTCCCAAGTAGGAGAATTTTTTTTGCAATCATTTCAGTTTCTCAACAATCTACCCAAAGCAGCATCAAGAAAACTTGCCAAAACAGTGAAAAACAAGCCTATTTCAACCAGAGTAGCTGATATTTGTTTAATATTGAAATAGGTGTAACTAAACTAAAATTAATGATTACTTGTTTAGAAGAAAACAAAAAGAAGAAAGTTTGAATGAAGAAAAAAGACAAGGGCTGCGGTTGTGGCTCAGTGGTAGAGCAGTTGCCTCGCATGTGTGAGGCCCTGGGTTCAATTCTCAGCACCACATATAAATAAATGAATAAAGTAAAGATCCACAACACCAAAAAAAAAAGAAGGAAGACAATGTCCAGATCAAAGAGTTAAATACAGACACAGGCAATATAACCGTGTGTAAATGAAAGATCAAGGATTCGTGTCCAAGGACTCTGAAGCAGAAATTCCTGAACTCCAAATACAACCTGCAACAAAGAGGAAAAAACAGGAAAGAGAAGTGTCCAGCTTACCTGGAGTCAGAATAGGAACGAAGAAGAGAAGTAGTTCTGAAGACGGAGACGTCCTAGCTCCCGAATCAAAAGTAAAGAAAAGGGCTCACAAAGACCACATTAAAGAAGAAGCTACTGAAGTTTCCAAAGTAAACAGAGGTAGAACATTAAGGTTATGGTTTGATATGCTGTTGGTGTTTCAACCCCCTTAAAAATGCCTTTAACTGTATTTTGATTTCTCTAGATTTAGAATTCTCTGCAGAAGAAGAAAAGGATCCTGGCAATATGAATGACAGCTCACTACTGAAAACAAGAAGGAAGCATGTCATGACCCTCATCCTCCTGGGGGTATCTGGCACATATAAGGGGATTGTGGTGGGCTGTACAATGATGACATCCCAACGAATTACACTCTCCAGTAAATACACCTTTGGGTGGTTTCCTGACAATGATTTCCAATTTGGCCCCATGATTTGATTTGGTCAATGGTCCATCATAGAGTGTAATGTAAGAGAGGCTACAAAAGAGGGTACACATTGGGCTTGCTCTCTCAGCATACACCTATCATCCACTGAAGCCCAGTCTAGCCTAGTGGAGGAAGAGTGAGCACAGGAAGCACAGACATCCACCTTCCAGTACCCAGATATGTGGGGGAAACTATTTTAAACATTCTTGGTTAAGTCAATTCATCAGCTGAATGTAGCTCCTTGAATGGCAAGACTAGCTGAATAAACCACAATCAAACCAGAGAATCTCAAGCATTAAAATAGTAGTGTTTGAAGTCACTATGTTTTGAGATGGATTCTTGTGAAGCGAGAGTTAACTGAACCACAATGGTGGTTTCTGTGTAGGTTTGCCTTCAGGTATAAGTAAACTAAAATTAATTTGAATAGGACTGAAAATGAAGTCAATTTTGATATTTAAATCTTTCATGATAGCTTATATTATCTCATGTTAGATTTTACTCTACTTAAATGCCCCAGCTAAGATAAAATATATTGGATTATTTTTATTGTCTTTTATTCCTAAATATTGGGTGTAGTTGTAAATTTGGAAGATCATTTCTTTATCTTAAATTAACATTTCTGTGTTAGTGAGTTGTTCTTTTTTAAAAACCTTCCAGCTCTTCTACCCTGCTCTGGAATTGCTAGGCATCTCAGCATTGATAATGAGGGAGGGATGCAGAGCTCTTCGGTCTTCTCTGAGGCATCAAGAGAAGCCCATTAAAGGAGGAAAAGCCACACACTCTCATTGTTGATAGTTATGCCATGAATCTGGCTGCTATTGTACCAAGAGCTGCTTCCATGTTTCACTTAGTGAGGTAAGTGGTGATATAAAAATAGAAACTCCTATATAAGAAATATCATGCACTACACAATTGTTTACTGTATATAACTACAGGATGTAACTATGTGAGCTTACCTTAGTCCATATTTGATAGTACTCTCACGACATTTATATAGTGACTTTAGAAAATCACTTCTAAGGACACTGAAAAGCAATCTCTCCTTCTTCATGTTCCATGAACTCCTGAAAAATCCTTTAAGTCACTCATGATCATTGGCCTGCTTGAGTTTTCTCTATATGTGCCTGAGTTTTCTCCTAGATAATGGGTTGGGAGTTATGCAGCACTTTTACAAATTAATGTTGTTTGTGAATTTAACTAATCTGTGTACACACCATAGCAATTTTTCACATCTAGCAACTGCCCAGTGTATGCCTGTTAAGTGAACACAAGAAGGATTGGGTCAACTCTGCTGCAATATATATTTCTCATATATATATATATATGAATGAGAAAGGGGGCTGGAGGGAGAGAGATCCACAAATTAGAAGCACATAACTTGCCAAAACCTGCTTAGCATCAGGGTCTATTTCGAAGTGGGCTTCTGTAATGAGGAAGACGACCTATAACATAATTATTTCTAATAGTAATATTTTTTAAAAAAAATTTTAGTTGTTGATGAACCTTTATTTATATGCTGCACTGAAAATAGCTGCAGTGCCTCACACGTGCTAGGCTAGCGCTGCACCTCTGAGCTACAACTCCATCCCCATCTAATAGTAATACTGTGATTTGGATATGAGGTGTCACCCGAAAAACTCATGTGTTAATTCAGGAAGGTCCAAAGTGAAATCATTAGATTATGAGAGCAGAAACCTAATCAATGAATTGATCCATTTGATGGAATAATAATTTGAATGAATTGCTGGGGTAACTATAGGCAGGTCAAATGTGGCCAAAAGAAGTAGGTCACTGGTCACTGAGGGCATCCTTAGAGTTGTATTTTGTCCTTGGCTGCTTGTTCTTTATTTTCTATCCCCCACCCTTTTTTTTCCTCTCTCTCTCCTTCTTGGCTGCCATGAGACGAGAAGTTTTTATCTGTTAGTCCCCTCACCTTGGGTCCATAGCAATAGAGTCAGTTGACCAAGAATTGAACCCTTTAACCACGATCCCTCCAAAACTCTTCCTCCTGAAGTTGTTCTTGTCAGGTATTTGGATGACAGTGATAAAAATTTGACTAACCCAAGCAATCTGTGTCATTGCAATGAAAAAGTGACAGCCCGTCTACTCACTGGTGCATTCTAAAGCAATTAAATCGCGTCAAGATTCCCTCAGTTCCTTAGGCTATGGCACATGTCGTCAGTGAGGCTCAAGTGCCTTGATGTTAGAGGACCTTCCCAAGGTCATATGATCAGTGAGTTGCGTAAGAAGGTCTGGCACCCAGATTTTTAACTTGTGATGATCCACAAATTATTATCTCCTCTGACTTGGCCAAAAATCGATATCTGGAATCTAAAATAGGCCTAATATAGCTTATTAACATGTGGACTTTGCCTTTAAAGAATCTGTAAGGGTAAGGGGACTATAAAAAGGAAGATCATGAGTAACCACGACATAATCTATGACTGAACAGACACAGTGGCATCCTTAAAATAAAGTCTGTCCAACTTTAGGAAACTTCTCTTTCTGCACTTATAGACTCCAAAGTCTATGTACCACACAGGTTACAGGTGGTCATCGGGTCTGAGAACAGTACCTGTGTTGCTCCTGACTTCACACATATCCTCTTCTTTAATGTGCTCTGGGTGTGTACCACATGTCAGGGTTCCTTCAGTTAAGCTCTGATCGGGCTGGTTATAAACCAACTTGTCCAATTATCTTACATCCTTGATTAGATTAGAGAACTTTTAGATGCACACAAGACATAAGTTTTCTTCAGGTGAAAGGGAGTGAGAGGTAATCATTACCCTTCATCAAAAAGCATGTCAAGCCCTGGGATTCCGTCACACATCTCACCTTCTTGCTCATGCAGCTGCTCTGCCTTGTGTTAACCTCTTCACTATGGGTCTTGGGGGCAAGCATGCGGGGGCTCAGGTTTCTGCAGAGAAATGTGGGATTACCATTAAGTACACACTGAGGTTGAAATAGTTTGTGACCCTCTAAACTGGTGCCCTTTCAACCTATTCATGGTTAGCACTTAACTAAAATTTCAAAGGGTCTGCTTTGAAATCTCTTCTTGCAGATTTTCCTTTATGAAATACCATTAGGTCTTGGGGCAGCTTGTGCTTACTTAGAATAAGAAAATTCATCACTAAAAAGACTGGGGGTGAGGAAGAAATGAAAAGTCAATCACCATGTTTATAAAGGAAAGGAGTTAAAATACTTAATAATCTTAAATGATATTGAATTGATAGTGTTTTGATACTTAAAACATG